GTACCGACCCTGTGTTGTAAAGCACGGTCTCTATGACGTCATGTTTATATGGGATTATGCACAAATTACGATGTGAACTAATCTAGTCAAGTATTATGCTGTGCAGAATTTACATTGAAAAGTTGAAATCGCGTAGTAAGCGTGTCTAAGAGATTTATCGTTTTCTGTGTAGTGTTTCAAGGAAACCTTACACTTTTCTAAAAGACGAGAGAGTTTGGGAGATATTGATTTGGCTTACATAATTTAAACCACATTATGTATTTCTACATTCCGCAGGCTTTATTTCTGTACGAATCTTTTTCATAATAGCGTTCAGGCCTAATTAAGTCAAGCCATACTAAGAACACACCCCAGGTTGAAAGTTACTAGAGGAGAGCTATTTTGTAACCCGTGTGTGAAAAAACAGTACTGTTAAACTATGTTAAAATTATGACTTCAAGCTACTGCAGTCTATACAGTTAGCTAAAGAGTGAAAATTAGCAAAATAGAGTCTTTTTCCCTTGTTTGAAGATATTAAAACAATGAGCTTGTGTTATTGCATGGAGTTCATCGTACAACATCTTAGATTGTTCTAAAAAGTTTCTAAACCTTATTCGACAGAAAATGGTAACTTATAACTCACTTAACTTAAGTTGTAAATTAATGTAAAAATAAGAACCTTCAGCCGCAGTCTAAATTTAGCATAAATTGCGATCAGGTTCATTGTTTACAAATTCATGACTTTGAACAGATCGGGCTGAACCGAACTGCTCGAAAGTGTTCTGCTTCCAAATAAAGAACTTATTGCCAATTTGAATAAAAGTTCTGGGCTGCAGAAGCTCTATGCATGGCTGTAATTTTGTCTTTGATTTTAAATTCGTAAAGTGGTGGGTATGTAGCAAGAAACTACTTCAGCACAGTTCGTCAAATTTGCATATTTCGGGTTGAATTAATTTGACGCATCAGTTGTGCTCATCAGGATGCGATACGTTCTGAAGTAATTTTCAGTAGAGCTTTTTGTCTTATCTT